AATGCTCTTTTGTACAAAACATGTAAAGCTTTTTATATGATTAGGGTGTTATCATAGTAAGCTATACGACATAAAAAATATCACATCGAGGATATATACCTATAGAATAGATCAAATAGTACGATTTCATAAGGAATATAATATAAATTTCTCTAAATACTGAAAGAAAAAATAGGAAAGATATTCGAGTAATCTATAACTTCCATTTCAAATAAACATCCAGTCTTTGAATAGAAAATATTTCACTGAATACACATAACCGAATTAGGATATAATCCAGGATACATTTTCTCACCGGATTTATTTAACCTATGCAGTAAGACAATCATAAAAGAACAAGAAGGCTTACCATGATTTATTTTTGATGGTTATTTTCATGAAAATATCAGATACGCGGTTGATATTGACTTACGGCAGTATCACTTTCAAACAATAGTTCCAGTACAATACCGAAGTTGCGCAACGTCGAGCTTGTCAGTATCTATATGGATGACCACTAGGGAATACAACATGCTGTAAACTTAAATGTGCTGGTGGTCTACTGGATACAGAGAAACAAGTTCTAATTCCGGTTGAGTTTGTTATATTCATTTATGCGCAAAGGACTGTGGGAAAAGGTATTACGTCACCTCTTCTCCCCCTACCCAGCTATGAGTTAATTAATAAAACATGTATCACTAGACAGTATTATCCTTCCTATCTAAATTCTTTACAATATAAGAATATGTTCTGCCTTTAAATAACCTGCCAAGGGCTGATAAGCTGTAGAAAACGAATTAATCAATCTGACTCAGAAGTAAAACCGAACAGATTCTTCCAAAATCGAATAAAGGAAAACAAGAAGAAAGTAGCATCTATTATGATCCTAACCTTTGAAAAATAGGGAAAACGCGCAAGGAAACATTGATTGAATTTTTACGGCTTATCAATATATGCACCGGATCTCTGTGTTCGGCTCTTCAAAAAGTGTGGTCTGCACAAAGCCCTCACCCCTGTAATCAAATCATATGTGCTGGTGTCTGGGCTGTCGGTTCCTAGGAACTGAGTTGCTTGACCCTCGTCCGTCGAATACGAGAGGAGAGTCCACCATATATATATATATATATATATATATATATATATATATATATATATATATATATATATATATACACAAACATACACACAAATATATTATTATTATTATTATTATTATAAAATCTATATTTACTGGGTAGATGTGTTTGAGTAGAAATCTGTGTGTCTGTGTGTACGCTATCCCGGGCAGCTTCGGAAAGAAATATAAAGGGAAGACTGGTCGCCCCCTTATGGTAAGGCTTCAAGAACACCAGACCATGAGGGTAAGTGGCTGACCAAATATGGAGAGAAAGGGAAAAATCAACGCCCTCAGTGGGATCAAGGTGAGATCATAGACAAACAACATCATTGGAAAATACGTAAACTTAAGTAATTAGCACATATGCTAGGCAACAAAATCTCCTGAACCGACCAAGCACAGAAATGAATACATTATGTGAACCAGTAGTAAGGAGTTTAAAGCCGAAACATATTTTGCATTGCAAGAATAATTCCATTGTTTGAGAGAGAATATTATAGTAACAATTCTTGAGAATAACGATTGATTTTCGGTGTCTAACTCAAATACCTAACCCATATCTTGAGGGAGAAGATGGATTCACACATTTTGCAGGTAACAGAACCGAGTGGAATTTGAACTCAGTTCTCCGATTTCTCATTCATGGCCGCTATGAATTATGCCCACCCATTCATCCGGGCAAACAAATACATACAACTATTTTTGTAGCGTCATCTTCATAGACATTATCGATTGATTAATGCATGCTTTTATTAAGAATTAGAATCGGACAAAGCAAGGACCTAGTGTGAAACACGTACGCAGTCAATAGCTAAAATAAACGACGTTTATCTAAAATCCTCTAAAGATATTCCGGTCTTCCTTGCCAATTTTCCAAAACTCGTTTCTGTCTGAGGTATCCATCAAGTTTAGTTTTCTTTGGCATGAGACTGGCTTGCGAAGTTTCAACCCTTAGGAACATCTTCAGATCTTCACAATAAAATACAACGTAGGTGTCTGCTTTCCGGCTGTTTTTTCTCTTTTGCTTTGTGAATTTAATCAAAAGTAAAAAGATAAAAAAATATTACGAACACTGTCTAAAGATATGAAAGCAGTCAGACAACACCTTCGAGTAAATATCACAAAAAAGAAAAATGTAATTTGGAAGAAATACATTAAATTTCACTAGAATAATCTTTAGTGATATACATATAGATACACTGGATGCAATAGAAGTTGGATCCTTCGGGGAAATCATCAACCAGTGTGTCTCAGAAGACAGGATCGTGGGACATGTAACGTAATATCTTCGGCTAATATTAAATGTAGTAAAATTATAGGTTTATATAAAATTGATCATTGCGTCAAGATAAATCCAGCGAATTAATGTAAATTCTTTGAACAAAGCTGATACATGTCACAATGAAGAAAGCTTCATCTACATATTCTATTCAGTCAAATCTATACCTCTTCACATTTTGTAAAGGTGACTATTGTTTCATATTTTGCTTCAAAACCTAAGGAATTTTATAAGCGTGGATATTTATAAGCTTCTTTACAGATGAAATGATGTTCTAGAAAGCAAAAGGGGTTATGTTAACGAAGAAATATTTGGTCCTTACCGATCCTTCAGAGTCTGTCTATATTTCTGAGATGAGGTATTATGTACAGTATTTACATCTCCTGAGCCGACCAAGCATTACGGGAACCAGTAATAAGGAGTGCCAGATAAAGACATGCAATGATAACAGCAAAAAATTGCAATATGAGCACTGGTAAAAATGATGCTGAAAGCATTAGGTTTATAATACTCAGAAGTTCATACCCAGATGTCCTCAAGGACACATGGCACTGTGGATAAAGGCGTTGGTTAGATCCAGTGACAGACCCAAAGAAGGTGAGTTCAATTCCTGGTTAAGGCAGTGGAGAACTTTCAGACGGAAAATTAGCAGGAGATAACTGATAACTGACATCCATCAAACGTGGAACTAGAACAGTCTACCCCAGTGATCGAAATAAAGGTTTCAGTTCGAAATTCCAACCACCTGAAGAAGGCCGGGGCGTACAACGGTCGAAACTTTGTGACAAATATGGCGACAATGATGAGGACAATAGTCCGACTAATGTAAATACTGAAGAAATATTTTCATAATCGTGGGGTTTTCGTTTTTAATATAGACCTTGAAATCTGACATTACTTTTGCACGAATCTGAAACTCGTAAAGAAAATAATGTCATACTTGAGATGTTGACATGCTAAACTATATCAATAAAAGGTTAGAAAAGACTCCCGCCATCATTACTGGAAAGAACGATAACAGTTACTGGACTTGATAAAATTATTTTCTTGAGAAATATTTTTAAATATTTTTAACAGAAAGATAAATAAATTTCTGCCGACAGTAGTAAAAGCTGCTCGGTCAATGAATGCCGAATGTTTCCTTATAAGGAAATGGCTGATATTACATTACCATTACAGATGAGGAGAAGAGATACTACACTTTAATCCAAGTCTGATGACCTGGGAGTCAAGAAAAGAGCAGCGTACTGATGGCTGCTAGGTCAATGAATGCCGAATGTTTCCTTATAAGGAAACGGCTGACATTATCATTAGGGATTAAAAGAATAGATACTACACTTTGATCCCATTCAGATCTCCGGAAAGTGAAGAAAAGCATAATGAGTAGCACTGGCTGCTCGGACAATGAATGCCGAATGTTTCCTTATAAGAAAATGCCTGATATTACATTACCATTAGAGATGAGGAGAACATATACTACACTTTGATCCCATTCTGATCTCCGGAGAGTGAAGAAAAGCATAACGAGAAGCAGTGGCTGTTCGGTCAATGAATGCCGAATGTTTCCTTATAAGGAAACGGTTAATATTACCATTACCATTATCATTTCCATGACAAATTTGCAGACGCTTTATATTACTTAGTTCTATCATTTAAAACCTTTACAGTCATGACACGTACATAGAGTCAACTATCTTCATTCTTTTTGCATTCCACTAGTAAGAAGGAAGTTCGACTCGGGAACAGACAGCAAGGATGATGCATTCGCGATCACTCTTCAAGTCTATGGTCATCCGTTATTTATTCTAAATACTTTGCACTTAATGTTTTTACGTTCATAAAACAACCTCATTAAGTAAAATTCTATTATCAGTAGCTGTGAACATTAGAAAAAGAAAAGAAAAGAAAAAAACAAGTGAAACATCGAATTTTTCATGGAAGTGCTGCTCAGTCAGGTCTAGAATTTTTCAGCATTCCTCGTAGAAAGCCACAATAATCAACTAGCATAGAACAAGTTATAAAGGCTATCGAGGAGAATTACTGAATAAAAAAATTATTATTTCGAATGAAAACGTTTACAAGAACAAAATAATCTAAAACTTATTTTGGCAAAAAGTTGACATGCAAATAGAGTCGATTATTTTATATTTTGTTTTTCGTCTAATCAGAAGCCATTTTTCGTGTTTGTTTTGTGAAATCTTGCAATTTTCTATTTCCTCTATTTCCCCTGATTATTGGATTGTTTATTGATGTCCATTTTGATAAACCTGCTTGGAACTGGATTAATTATTTCTTTTATTGAAATCAGTTCTTTTATTATAACCTAGTTTCGTGTGTTCTTTCCCACCAACCATATTATTTTTCCTCCTTTCGATATTCTTTTCATCATATCTTTATTATTTCCCCGCCTAATTTTTACAAAAATATTTATCATTTATCAGTTACTTATTTTTCTTCTCATTTGTGATTATTCGGCTTTTTGTCCTTATCAATGTTTTTTTTTTTTTTTATTATTCGTCTTTTGGTCCTTATCAATATTTTTTCTTTACATTTTATTTTCATCAGATATCTTTTTTTTTGTGATTTCCCGGCGTTATTCTTGACATTTATTCAGACCTTCCTTGAATGTGTGTGTGGTTAATTGTTTTTTTTTCGATTGCTTTTCGTTTATTCTACTTTTTTTCTTTTTTCTTTTTTCTTTCTTTGTATTTAGTCACTATTTTATCTTTCCATTTTCTTTCTTTCTTTCTTTCTTTCTTTCTTTTTTTCTTTCTTTCTTTCTTTCTTTTTTCTCCTGCCAAACTCTTTACTCTTTTCATACATTTCTTTTTCCATTCTACACTTCCCGTTTTTTTCTATTTTCTCATGTTTTCGTTCTTTCTTTCTTTCTTTCTTTCTTTCTTTCTTTCTTTCTTTCTTTCTTTCTTTCTTTCTTTTCACTCATTTTTAATCCTTCTATTTCAAGTCTGTCACTTTTCTTTCTTTTTTCTTCTCAAATATTTATTTCTTACCATAGATTATATTTCAGGGCTTATCTTTAATTTTTCTTTCTATTTCTTCTCTATGTTTTGTTTTGTTTCGTTTTGTTTTCGTTTTTTCTTTCTTTCTTTCTTTCTTTCTTTCTTTCTTTCTTTCTTTCTTTCTTTCTTTCTTTTCACTCATTTTTAATCCTTCTATTTTAAGTCTCTCACCTTTCTTTCTTTCTTTCTTTCTTTCATGTCGAGATCATGTCACCCTTTTTGAGTCGAGTGTAAACCAGGCCGTTTTCAAATTTTTTGCCAATTACTTGTCCTTGTGTGGAATATCATTAAACTCACTAACCTAACATGATGAACAATTCTTTTGTATCGTAATACTCTGTCTACCATTAACTTACATCTGTATTATTAATTCGACTCTTAAGATTTATTGTAATGTGCGTTCTACTATAGCGTTAATAATGTAATCTGCACGATTCTACAACATAGAGAGTACAAGTGTCACTCTTACAAGCACGCAGACTTTCTGAATACAGTATACGATTTAGTTTCTACGGTAATATGATCAATTCTTACATTTCTACGATAATTTCCAGTTTATCTCTCAGTCTTTGAGCCTAATAATTCCGTCTGTTATTAAAATATTCAGACTTTACTTAACTTGTAATCATATGTAATATACGGTCTTACATTAAATTCTATATATTCAATATACTGCCTTCCATAACGGTTCTAGTGTAATATTCTGTCCATCATTATATTCGTGCATATTCGTACTGACATTATAATTTTTAATGTTATATACAACCAATCATTAAGATTTTATTACACATTTCACTGTCTTTGATAACGTTTCTACACTGATATGCAGTACGCCATTAAATTAAAACTGCTGCATGTCATCTAACAATAAGTTTTTGTGTTAATGTGTAATTTGCCGTTAAATATATAATTAAGTCGAATGAGTAGACTTTTATGTAAGATTCGTGGTCTGGGCGAAGGTCGCAGAAAGGAAAATTATGGAATCGGTGAGTCAAGTTCAAATTCTGATTAGGTCTATTGCATTTATTTGCGACCTTGGGAAAAGGTACGAAATCGTTTCTTCTCCCCATCTTCGTAACTATGGTTTATATAGCGAGGAGGACTCGGTTTTTTAGCCTTGTTTGGTAATCATTCTAAAACATGGCCAACTCTGTATTAACAACCATCTTGAAGAGAGAGTAACTCCGTCAGACTATCTTCCACTAAAAAACATCATCTACTGCTTCACTTGAAGTATATATAGTGCTCTTCTGATCCTGAAGAAAAACAGGGTTACACCCATATCACGTTGAAACATCGGTTCTTACAGGAGTTCCGAAGTTAAGCAACGCTGAGCCTGGTCAGTTACCTAGATGCAAATACAAGATGCTGTAAGCTTGGGTGTGCGAGTTGTGTAATGGAATACGTCTCGGAATTGTAAATAGGTGAACCGAGTTCAAATTCCAGTCGGGTTCGTTATATTGACTGACGCGCAAATATATTAAGGAAATGTAGGAACCCACCTCTTCTCATTCCAGCTACTGGTTAATTGGTAGGGCTTGTATCAGTAAATAATTATTATTTCCTAAAACTTCCTTAAAATCTAAAAATATTTCCTCTGTTTAAGTAACCCCCGAAAGGTTTATATGCCGTAATGAAGCAAATCAATCAGTGATGAGTAACAGGATTATATTCATGAAATAGGATGCCTTTCGTTATGAATAATCAGGAGTGGTCTCCCTTTGTTTTTGTTACTCTCCTCTTTGAGAGAGCTATTTCTGTTTACTGGGACTATAAGAGGACACTATACGTGAACCTTCTGTTCTCAGTTGAATAAAGCTTTCTTAAAATCTAAACCTTGTATTCTCATTTGTATAAAGCTTTCTTAAAGCCTACACCTTGTATTCTCAGTTGAATAAAACTTTCTTAAAGCATACATCTGCGTACTTTTGTTAATACACTTTTATTTAAAGAAATCTCTTCTCGATAATGAATTTTGTTGTGAACTTATTTCTCATGTGACTGATCGTTGTCAGATTCACGTAAACTTGGGAAGAGGATTTTGTACTTTATTTTTTCTGAGTTTATCAAGAACGTTACATGATTAAAAATATTATTTGCAGAAATTACAAGAAAAAAAAAACTTTTTCTACTGACCGAATTTAATAATATACTAAAATCTCAACTCACTTTTGATCATTATTATTTTAATAACTCTAAATTTAAAAAATATTTCTAATTTACTACGTCGAGTTTTAAGGATTCTTCCTATTATAGACTAAACAAAGAGGCAACTACTTAGAGCAGCATTCAATCAAATTCTTTTTTTTAACAAAGTTAACTTAAAATTAAAAATAAAATTAATACAATTCGGAAATTAAATGGATTGTGTGTTCGCGTCACCAATGATCGTTCAGCGTCTGACGTCGGGTACTTGTCAACTTGACGAGGCCAATGTTTCAAATTTTTTGAATTTCGGGGTCCGTTGCCCGGGACGCAGAGATAAAAAAAAAATATAGTTAAATATTCTTTTCTTGCTGATAGAATTTGATTTTATTCCTGAGGCAGTGGAGACCTCTGGGAGTTTTGGCCCTCGTTCGATGGCGTTCTTTCGGAGGATTGGCGCATTTGCGTCTCGATTAAGGGACGTGCGTCACGAAACGGAGTGGCTCTTGCAGCGTGTCTCACAGCGATAGTTCGGGTAATGCTTACTCTATCATTGCGGCTGGCAGAGGATAGAAAAAAGATTGTTTATAGTTACTTTGTTCAAACTTTTTTTTCAATAAATAAATTTCTCATTGTTCATTTCTAGACTGACGTGGTCTATGTCGAATACCTTAAAATATTTGTTAATTCCTATGCATTAGAAGATCAAGAATAATGTGGATTGATAATGGTGGAGGCTCTCGTTTTGTTATGAGCCAAAGTGGGAGGTAAAAGTAAAACTGTACGGTGGGAAACTAAACTGAGGTTGACAGGAAACAGAACTGGAGCCATTTATTTTGTCAGATCAGACAAAAAGCAGTAGAGCTATATGCACAAGGGGTTAAGTTGGCAATCAATACAATTTGTAACTGTTAGCGTCAACATCGTTTCGAGTTCAAAATATAAGAGAATGCTATCTTTACTGTTTTCTGGCTCTCTTTCTATTTCTTTTTCCTTTTTATCTATCCGTCGGTCTCTAAACTATTTTCTCTTAATTTCTCCTGTTATTTCTCTCTCAATTTCTCAAACATACTCTTTACTTTTGTCACTTATTTTCTCTTTCTCTCTCTCACACGCTTTTCCTTCTATTTCCATTCTTTTTCTCCCTCTTTCTCTTACCCTCTAACTTTCTCTTAATTTTTCCTTCTCTTTTTCTCTCGCTCTCTCTCCCTCTCTCACGTTTTTTTGAGATGGCTGCAAAACGCTTTCAGAGGAAAACATTTCCATAATTAAACTGTATACGATTATATATTCACCATTATTTGCAATGATATGTTACCGCTAATCAAGTAGATCGTAAATATCTTTAGATTGAAATTTTGCAAATTTGCTGTGAAAGTGTTTTAAATCTGGGTTTCATTATGGAAATGTTTTCCTCTGAAAGCGTTTTGCAGCCATCTCAAAAACTCATATCATACAACTGAATACATACATATATATATATATATATATATATATATATATATATATATATATATATATATATATATATATATATATATATATATATATATATATATATCCATGTGAGAGAAAGAACAGATGGTGCAAAAATCAACTCTTCGAAGCATTTCCTTTTTTAAAAAGTGCTCAATACAGAGTACAGCAATATATTATTATTATATTTTTATTATAAGAGATTAGTATAAAAACTTTTTGAAGATCGACACAAAAAAGTTTCCCTGTTTCAGTACTATTTTTGTATTTCTTCATTTCTTTTCATGTTTCAATACTATGATTGTACTTTGTAGTTAAGTAGGTGCGGGATAAGAAATACAATCCTTGTATTCAAACATGAAAGCTTTTGTGTAGCGATTTCAAATAGGTCTTTATTATCATCTCTTATAATAAAATATATATATAATATAATATATATATAATATATATATATATATATATATATATATATATATCGAGTTTTATTCATAATTTTATGATTAATATCTGAATTTAGGACCATAACCGTCTACAAAGATGACTTTCTAATCCATGTCATAGACGCTGACTGAGATGCATTTATGTTTATTCACTATGCACAGAGCCAACATAGTTTTTTATTCTAACGATATTGAACGGCCTTTAGATACAGTTTCTGGAAGAGAGAACGCAATCGACCATGACCAATATATTAAATAATAGTTTCGGACTATTATTGTTTTGTGGCAGTGTATTTTTGTTCTGAAGCTGACCTTTAAGGTCAGATGGTAGACAAAATGCGGATGTCGATTTTGATTAGCGGAGGCGACCGTGAAAATGCTAGAGAGATAGAAAGTGATTTCAGGGAGTTAAATTTTTACACGTCATACACATAGATGTGGTTATTTATTGTCTCGGAGAATTTGTTGCCTAGTGGTGGGGGTCGATAGAGCGACCCACTGGCTAGTCAAAAATGTACATGTCGACGTGCTTAATAAAATAGGTAATTTAAAAAATTCCTTTTATTGAAGTTCTCATTTTACCTCCGAACAAAACGACTGGCGATCGCCCGACTGGGAGAAGACGTCCGAAAGAGAAGAATGAAGCTTTGTTGTGAAATTGACCCCGTCAACCAAAAGACCTCCCCAGAAAGAAGGATTGTATACAACACTGAGATGCCATGTCAGGGCAATAGTTTGTCAACAATCTCTAAATACATAGCAGACGGAGAAGACCTGGCGTGGAAGCAATATTCAAAACATGGTAGACCTTTAAATGCATTTATATTTCAAACGAAAACATTTTTTTATTGTAAATCTGCCGTTAAATTTCATGCTCCAAAGACGTGCTAATTTCGTGTGCGGGGTCTGCTCTCCAGAGGTTTGGCTAGTTTAAAATGTACACGTCGACGTGTTTAATAAAACAGATAAGTTTAAAATCACTTTTGTTGAAGTTTTCATTTTACCTCCAAATAAACCAACTATCGATCACCGGGAGAAGTGGGCCGAGAGAGATGAATGCAGCTTTATTATGAAATCGACCCCGTCA